CCACAAGAGAGGAGCTTGATAACTGAAAGCTCTGCCTCCCATTCTACTTTTAGAAACTCCAGGAACCACAAGTAAACCTGCAGTCTGACAGTGAAGTGCTCTGTTAGGAAAGGATGGAACAATAAGATCTTTAATATATGATGGAGCTTGGTTGTTAAGAGCTTTGTATGTTAGGAGGAATATTTTAAATTCTGTTCTGAATTTGACAGGGAGCCAGTGGAGAGAAGCTAAAACTGGAGAAATATGATCTCTCCTTCCAACTCATTAAAACTCTAGCAGCAGCATTTTGGATTAACTGAAGACTTCTTAAAGAGGTTTTTGGATGCTCAGATAATAAAGAATTACAGTAATCCAGTCTAGACATGATAAATGCATGAATCAGTTTTTCTGCATCATTTTTGGACAAAATGTTTCTAATTTTAGTGATATTACACAGGTGGAAGAAGGCGGTCCTGGTAACATTTTTAATGTGGGGTTAAAAGACATGTCCTGATCAAAAATAACACCAAGGTTCTTTACATTAGAACTGGAGATCAGATTAATGCATCCAGAGGAGCTGAAAGGCTGCAAAGTTGATCCCTAAGATGTTCAGGTCCAAGAACCAGAACCTCTGTCTTATCTGAGTTTAGAAGCAGAAAATTAAGAGTCATCCATGTTTTTATGTCTGTAAGACATGCTTGTAGTTTAAGTAACTGATTGGATTCATCAGGTTTCATGGATAAATATAACTGACTATCATCAGCATAACAATGGAAATTTATCCCATGCTGTTTAATAACTTTACCTAATGGAAGCATACTGTATATAAAGAGGATTGGTCCAAGCACTGAACCCTGAGGAACTCCATGACTAACTCTGRTGTAAGAAGAGGATTCATTATTAACATTAACAAACTGAAATCTATCAGTTAAATAAGAGTCAAACCATTTTAGAGCTGTTCCTGTAATCCCAATATCAAGTTCAAGTCTACGTAATAAAATATTGTGATCGATTGTATTAAATGCAGCACTGAGATCTAACAGGACAAGAATGGACACAAGTCCACTGTCTGAGGCCATGAGAATATCRTTAGTAACTTTAACCAGTGCTGTTTCTGTGCTATGATGAGCTCTGAACCCTGACTGAAACTCMTCATATAGATTATTTCTATCCAGATGTTCACATAGTTGATTTGCAACTAATTTCTCAAGAATTTTTGAGTTGAATGGGAGATTAGATATAGGTCTGTAGTTGGCCAGAACTCCTGAATCAGGATCAGGTTTCTTCAGTAAAGGTTTAATTACAGCAACCTTAAAGCTCTGTGACAAACAAAACCAATGCTTTAGCATTCAGCTGCTATACTGCATTTAGCTAGCATGTAACAATTTTAGCTAACATTTTGCAGCATTTAGCATTTAGTTATGTTTAGCTAACCTTTTTAAGCTAGTGTTTGGTGACTTTTAGCTAGCTTTTTAGCTAACATTTTGCTGTTTTTGGCTAACAACTAGCATCTGGCTACTGTTTTGTAACTTTTAGCTAGTCTTCGGTGACTTTCAGTTTGGGGGATTTAGCTAGCATTTTGCTTCTTTTATCTGCTGTTGTTTAGCTTCAACACTTTCAGCATTCTTTCATTCTGTGGGTTTAATTTATAAACTTATAGGCAGCGAGAGAAAAACTGAAAATCTTTTAATTCTGAGCGGCCCGGACCAACCTGAGTCAGAACCAAACAGACGGGTCAGAACTGAACAATCTGTTTATTTCACAAAGACAAGTTGTTTTTCAGGTTTTAGTTCTTTGAACAGTTTTTACAGGATGTTAAACATCTTTAGTAGAAACATTTTAAATGCTACAAAGTTTAAGTGTATTTTTACAAAATAAAAGGAATCACAGCTCAAAGAGCAGCTGAAACAAAAAGGTTTTTACACAAAATAAAACAAATATAAATAAAACTAAAGGTTTTTACATGTAAACCAAACATATGTTCTGTTTATTTGTTGGCTTGTTGTTGTTGTTGTTGTTTGTTGCAGCAGAGCAGACAGGAAGTGAGTGGCTGACAGAAGTGCAGGACTTCCTGTTGGTTCTGTCTGATCATCATGAGCCCAGCTGGAGGTCTCAGGTGGGTCAGGATCTGCAGACTTTACTTTCTTCCATCTTGTCCTCTTGATTCAGGTTCAGGGGTTCCAGGGTGGACTCTTTGACTTTATTTAATCTTTACTAACAAGAATAAACTTTATGATCATGAGCTCCGACTCAGAATAAAAATAATGAGACCTGCTGTGAACATGATTCATGTTAGTTTGTTAATGTTTTCAGTTTCATGAAATGCTCACATTTAAATCACCGTTACTGGAGGCTGATAATGATGTATGTCTGTGTGTGCTTATGTATATGTATGTGTGTGTGTGTGTGTGCGTGCGTGTGTGTCTGTGTGTGTGACAGACACATACAAGAGTGGAGGAAGGTCCACACAGGTGGATTATATCTTATGCCACCTGTAAGAGATTAGAGATTGTAAAGTGGTGCCAGGGGAGAGAGTAGCAAGACAGCATAGGCTGGTAGTCTGTAAAATGAGATTAGAAACAAAGAAGAGGAAGAGAATGAAGACGGAGCCAAAGATTAAACGGTGGAAGCTGAGGGGGGGGGATTGTTGCAGGAAGTTCAGGGAAGAATTGCACCAGGCTCTTGGGGGCAGTGAGGAGCTACCTGAGGAGTGGGAAAGTACAGCTAAGGTGGTGAGAGAAACTGGCAAGAAGGTGTTGGGTATCTCTTCTGGTCAGAGTAAAGAAGACAAGGAAAGTTGRTGATTGTTATGGATTAATTATTATATCTGTTCTACCTTGACACTGTCCGGTTACCATATCTTCTTATAACCAGTTTTCGGCTGTCAATCTGTGTTGGCCCAGACAACAGGACTCCAGCGAGGGATTGACCTCTCTTGTTTGATAAGAAACTCTTTGAGCTGAGAGCCCTGTGGTTGGCTGTACATTCGTCGATCTGTGATTGGTTGTAAACTGTCACATGGTGTTAACATAATGTTATATTACTGGCTGTCTCTGCKGACGAAGCYAGCCACAAGCCGACAGAGTTTCCTGATTGAGTYCTGTTTGTTTGTCGCTCAGAATTAAATCATTATGACGACCATACACGCAGATTTTCTGTGCATTATTCCAACGTGTTTCTGCATTCTTGATAAACTTGCCACGACAGTTAATTGGCGTTGTCTGAAAGGCGGCTCCCAAGGACCGGAAGATTGCCCGCAGCAGTCGACTGTTGTTTTTCTCAGAGATCCACCAGAAAAYGGAGGAAGGTTTGTTTTCTGACAGAGCTGGACCTGTTTTTCTCTGCTGATCRTGTCCGGGTTTTGTGATCTGTCCTTACCTCGGCTGCTGTGGGTAACCTTTTTGGGACTGGAGCTGAAAAAAGAACCTGTCTGTGGCAGAAACACGGTGAGCTAATATTTTCATTAGCACTTTATGCTAAGAGCTACGGCTAATTTTTCAGCCCACACACACTGAAATTGTAAATTGTTAGACGCTGGTCTGGTTTTCTGCGGCTGAACTGACACTAGCCGAGGTAGATATGGGAGCGGTTCTTATTCCATGTCGAGTCAAAACAGGGAGCTTAGCTTTCTGTTTGAATGAGGAATGAGGAAGTCCAGGAGAGCATTCAGAAGAAGAATGCAGCTAAGAAAAGGTGGGATGATCAGAGAGATGAAGGAAGTAGGCAGGAGTATTGTGAGGCTAGTCGCAGAGCGAAAAGAATGGTGGCAAAGGCAAAGGCTCAGGCCTATGATGAGTTGTATGAGAGGCTGGACAGTAAAGAAGGAGTAAAGGACTTGTACCGTTTGGCTGAACAGAGAGATAGAGCTGGAAAGATGCACAGCAGGTTAGGTTGATAAAGGATAGAGAGGGAAACAGTGAGAGAACAGAGCGTGTTGAGTAGATGGAAGGAGTATTTTGAAGAACTGATGAATGAGGAAAATGAGAGAGGACAGGGGGAGGGGGCAGATAGTGGATCAGGAAGTGCTGAGAAGTAAGGAGGAAGTGAGGGCAGCCTTAAAGAGGATGAAGAACAGAAAGGCAGTTGGTCCAGATGACACACCTGTGGAGACCCCAGGTCAGTGAGCARCAGTTTGGTTTCATGCCCAGACAGAGTACAACAGATGCAGTTTTTGCTTTGAGAGTGTTGTAGAGAAGTACAGAGAAGGCCAGAAGCAGCTGCACTGTGTCTTTGTGGATCTAGAGAAAGCATATGATAGGCTGCCTACAGAGGACCTGTGGTTCTGTAGGAGGAAGTCAGGAGGGACTGAAAAATATGTGAGGGTGGCGCAGGACATGTATTTTCAAAGTTTTACAATTCTCTTCGGTACACATGTTTCAAGTTAAATTATTTGTATAATGCTTAATTTGTGAAAAATGGTGTGTACTTTTAAACATGGTGTATAATGTTAGTAGGATGTGTAGAAACTGTTAGTTACATTAAACATTATTATAGCATTAGGAGCATAAAGGACTTGTGTGTGAGAGACAGAGACACAGATGGACACATAAAGACACAGACACACACACAGAGACACAGACACACACACAGAGACACAGACACACACACAGAGACACAGACACACACACAGAGACACAGACAGACAGTTGTATGCGACTCTCAGCTACCACTGCCACCAGCTCTTTATATGCCGTTGTCTGCCATCTTGAATTGGTTTTATTATTGGGCCGTTGGAAAGCTTCAGCATTTTTTAACCTTGTATTTGTTTTAAATTGTATTTACAACTGATTTTTTTGTCATTACCATTATTAAACTGGAATATTTTTTGCTTCTCATTACAGCTTTTCACTTGTGTGAGACTCAGGCGATTCAGAAATTTTCAACTGCTGCGATCCTCTGGCCTTCAACATCATCTTCATCCATCAATACTTAACTTATAGTCTTACAATAATAACACACATACTTAATGTACGTGTTCAGACAATACACATTCATTTTCATACAGTAAAATTCANGTGTGTGTGTGTGTGTGTGTGTGTGTGTGTGTGTGTGTGTGTGTGTGTGTGTGTGTCTCAGTGTTTTTCCCTCCAGAATCTCAGCAGATGAAACAGAAGAACTTCATTATTCTGAAGAGACAACAAAGTCCTGCTGAGAGGGACCGTCCGGGTCCAACAGGCTGGGTCAGACGGACTTCTTCACATTAGTTCAAGTGTTTAGAAGAGGTCTACATGACTCACTCTGACACCCCGTCACTCGGTGAGGTCAGGTGGTCTGAGGGTTTGTGCTGGCTCAGCTCTGTTCTTCTGGTCCAAATTAATAATCCTCCCTCCGAGTCCGCTGTGTGGTTCTGTGGTTCCTGCTGTTTCAGGGCCGCTCCAGGTCTTCAGTCTCCAGCAGGACCAGGATCAGACGATCAGAGAGTCTCTGCTGAGGACCTGGTTCTGCTGAGGAAGATGAAGTCAAAGTGAGAAACAAAGTAAGTCTTCATCACAGGAAGACATCTGAGGGTTAATGAGGTGAAGCTGAACCTGGAACAAAATGTTTTCAACTTGAATGTTTTAAATTTAAAGTTTTGTTTGATGTTTTACAGCCCAAAAGCAGTTTGTTGACAGATTAAACCAGTCTGAACCAGTTTTGACAGATTAAATCAGTCTGAACCAGTTTGTTGACAGATTAAATCAGTCTGAACCGGTCTGTTGACAGATTAAACCAGTATAAACCAGTTTGTTGATTGATTAAATCAATCTGAACCAGTCTGAACCAGTTCGTTGACAGATTAAACCAGTCTGAACCAGTTTGTTCCAGTCTGAACCAGTTTGTTGACAGATTAAACCAGTCTGAACCAGTTTGTTCCAGTCTGAACCAGTTTGTTGACAGATTAAACCAGTCTGAACCAGTTTGTTGACAGATTAAATC